AATTTCTGATGGGAGACAACAGTGCTAAGCAGAAAGGCACATCCTGATCTCTAGCAAGTGAGGGGCACGCTGGCGCACACACGCACACAACACATACTCTCCGGGCGCTCTGCATAATACGTGCAAAGCGCTGCCCTTTAATGAACGTAACCTATGGCGGCTGGGATGCAGCCGGCCAGACCTCGCCATTAATAAACTGGGAACATTCTTCTCCTTTTTTTAGTCCCTTTCAATGCCAGCCCTGCGGTTTGATCTCCCTTGAATGCTGCTCCCCCTCATTTGGGGCTCCAATTCTGAGAAGATTTGGCGCATTGTTTGAGGTCGCAGGATGTCGGATTGATTTCGGAGCTTTTGTATTGACTCCGGGCTCCTGAATGAAGCTGTCATGTGTGTCTGTGGTTGGCTAGCAGGCTGTCCGGCTGCAAGCTGTGCCTTCCTTTGTTGTTTAGGCCTCATTGAGCTGAGGGAAGAGGCTCATTTCAGGGTGATTTACCACCACCCAAACACCAGCTGTCTGTTGTACTGCCGCTTGCCTCCACCTTGGATTCAGTTCTTGTTTCCCTTCATTTTCCCCCCTTCTCTCCCACTCTTCTACTATAGGCACTTGGGTACTTGTTCTTCAAAATGTGTGGATCACCCTGACAGAACAGCATAAAAAACATAATAAGCACTGAATATGTTGTTCTTCTTAATTGCATTTGTGCACCCATGGGGATTTTTAGAGTTCACTGTTGCAGTCACAGAATCATAGGATAATGTCTCGAGTTGGAAGGGACCCACAAGGATCACCGAGTCCAAACCCTGCACAGGACAGCTCCAAGAGTTATACCATGTGCCCGAGAGCCTTGTCCAAACACTTCTTGAACTCTGGCAGACTTGGGGCTGTGACCACTGCCCTGGGGTGGTTCCAGCGCCCGACCATCCTCTGTGTGTTTGTGCCAGCTCCCTGGGGAAAAGGCTAATTCCAGTATTTTCAGTAGTCATTGCCCAGAACAGAGGAAGGTTGATGAAAACCGAGCAGGTCAGAGCCCTGCTGTACCTGTCAGCCACTGCAAGGTGCATGACACGGTGCTGCTAAGCTGAGCCCACCTCTCGAGCTGAGCTTTTCAGCCGCAGGCTTGGGAGAGCAGGAGGAGGACGGGGATCCTGCCGTTAATCCCAGCCAGCTCCTCCAGAGCACAGAGCCTGGCAGCTCCGTGGAGGCCCGACGGTGCCATGTGCCTTGTGTCTGACTCCTTTAAACAGGGCTGGCAGCTCTGCCTGGGACAGCTCTGGGCGACGCCGCCGTGATTTGTGTGTGCCCCTGAGCCTCCCCTGGAGCCGCTGGCGTGAAGCGAGTTGTGACCGACCCTCATTTGACTTCTGGGTGACGCAGTTCGGTATTTCTCGACCACAGTCTGTTAAAATTGGCATCCGCTCAGCTCCTGTCACCCGTGCAGCTGAGATAATTAAGCCTGTTACTATTATTATGATTTTTTTTCTCCTTTTTCTGCACATTTTGGCCGGCTGCTTAAGCCTGTGGTGCAAGGAGATGGGTGAGGCCAGAGAGATCCCCTATAAGAGGTGGGATGATGTGACATATGTGCTTTTTCAAGGAGCCTTCTTGCTCTTTGCCTTGGGAAGGGTGGTGTCTGACAACGGGTAGGAGCCAGCAGAAGGCAAAGTGAGCTTCCCTCCTGGAAAACCTTGTGCCTACCTGCTTCTAAACCACACCATCTCATCAAGAGTAGGCAGTACATCTGTAAGATTCCTACATAACTGTGCTCTTCCTCACTTATTCATGGCTAGGCTTCCCGAACTAAGATTGAGGAAGGCTCTATCCACAGTTGTTACAGGCACACTGGTGGCTTATGAGGCCAATACGAGATAGACATATCTGATTGCTCTTCCTCAACACTGTTATTAAAAGGCCAGGAAACATGGAAATGATGCTCCGTAAATCAAGACCAAACATCTATTAATACCCAGTGAGTTGAGGCTCCCCTCTTTGCAGTGTTCTTCTCTCTCTCTCTTATGCTTATCAGGCGCTGCTGGACGAAGGAAGGAGGGATATATCAGGAGGCAACATCCACAGTAGGATAGCCCCAGCGAGGTGTTTTAATTTCTTAACAAACTCTTTGGGCACTAAAAACTGTAAAATAACATACAGATAAACAAACAAAAACTCCCTAACCCTTAGCACCCTGGAGGGCTCTGTTTCAGATCACTGAATAAAAGCTGAAGCTGCATATGCATGTTTAATGTAACACAAGGCGTGTGCTGTGCAAAAGCATGCTTCCTTCTAATCTGGTTCCAGACAGAAGCATCCAAACAGAAGCCCCTTTCCCTATCCCCACTGAACTGCTTGGTGTATGTGAGGAAACCCCTGAATGACAAGGCCTCCATCTGCTCTGGAACAGAGTTGCGACTGGCTGCAAATGTTGTCCATATGCTTTTTTTTTTTCCTTTTTGCCTTTCAACTTAGCTGCCTAATGTTAGACACCTATCCCCAAATTAAGCATCTGCTCATAAGAAGCTTTCCCAAAATAAGGTGGAGGTAGCAGCTCATTGAGCCAGTGCACATTAGGAGAGGTGCATCTGCAGCTGGAAAAGGATGTAAAAATATTCATCCAGTGCATTGCTTTCATTTGATTTTTTTAGGGAATGGAAGAGCCCCTTCATTCTTGTACTGCCAGAGAAAAAGAAAAAAAAAATCTAGTTTTGAGTTAATATTCCCCTTCTACTCCTGATTTCCCAGATGACTATGGGCAACACCTTGCAATTTCTCTCTAGTAAATAAAATTGGTGATATTTCCACTTGGGCAGGAGAACATGGCTGCGGTTTGCTATGAGCTCAGGTCACATTAGAGCCATGGAAGGCTCTAAAAATGGGAGTTTTCCCCTTGGCTTGTGGTTAAAAGAGAGTTGGATTGTCTTTTTCAACATGACGACTTTGCAGTGGATACTGGGACAAATTAACCATCAACAAGGTATATATGGATCTAGTTTCCTAACCACAAGTGTGTGTCATTGCTAAAGGTACCCTAATATATCCTGACTGCACATTGGCTGCCTGTTAGGAAATGTGTGGGTTTCTCTTAGGTCCTTTGTAGCTCCAACTTGTCTCATATAGTGTGAGATGTGTAGAAGGTGTTCTGTGGTTAGACAGACGAGTCTCTTCCTGTGCCTCAGTTTCCTATCACTATCATCATAATTTAATACACTTGCTTTAACTTCTAGTTTAATCACTTCTTTCTCGGCAATGGTTTTTGAATTTTAGAGATTATGGACTGATATTTGAAGGACTGTAATAATGGGGCAAGAGTAAAACACCATTGATAGATTGGAGTCACAGGCAGAGGATGCCAAATGCAAGTAGACCCCTGAAAACCTCAAAGTTTGAAAGGATGTTATCGGCAGACCAAATGAAGCATTTTGTTAGGTATCAGACTAAGTATCAGTACTACCTTTTCAGTGTCTTATTTTTTTCCCAGCTTCTCTTTTGGAAAGGGGAAAAAAGATCATTTCTGCACATTATCTGACCTTACTGGGACTTGTGAGATGCTGAGGTCACCAAGTAAGAGATCTTACCACACCTGGCAGGTTTCAGGCTCTCCCAAGGTGACCAAAAGTTTATCTGCCTGTTTGTAATTCCTGCCACCAAGGGTCATCTATCTGCTGTGCCCTGACATTGAGCAATGGCTGCAACTCCTTTTAATCATGCCCTTTCCCTTCCTCATCATTTAGGACAGAGCACTTCCACTTGGCTAAACTCGATAACTGTGTTAGTGTTGGGGTCTCCTTTTCTATATAAATTAATCCAGCTGAAATCTCGTGACTCTCCATGGCTGTACACGATCAGATTCTCCCTCTGTTCCCCAGTGGATGCTGAGAGTGTTTATTTTTCAGCTGTGGGCAGCAGAAGTCTGAAAATAGACAGTGTCTTTGTGTGTGTGCCCATGGGAAGCAAGTAATTGTGACAGATTTGTGGGAACTTCATTTCCTGTGTTACAGTCTGAGTTCAAGGAGCATTTTGACCAAACCTGGAATCCCAACCCCTTTCTGTCATGATGATTTATCAAGATGCCCAGGTCTGATAAGCAACAAAACTGCTGTGGTGAAGAACCAGGGTGACTCAAATAATCCCCAGAAAAGAACCGTGTTAACATGAGGGACCTTGCTTCTCCAATCATGTTCAGTCTGATGGGTTTTCAGCAAAAATAAGGTGTCTGAGCTCAGCTTCCTTCTCAAACTGTTGGTTGGAGGTGAAAGGAGAGTGAGGGGACTCTGTTACTTTGCAAATCTGTGCTGGCCCCAACATCCACCCCTAGGAGTGTTTGAGGCCACGCCGGGTGAGACTTTGAGCAACCCTGTATAGTGAAAGGTCTCCCTGCCCATGGCAGGGGGTTTGAACTGGGTGATCTTTAAGGTCCCTTCCAATCCAAACATTCTGTGTTATAGAAATTACAGGGTCTGTGCCAGCAGTGCTGGGTGAGGGTGGGCTGTTGAATTCCTGGCAGGGATTTACCAGTGGTGATGTGGACCCATTGTCCTACTGAGGGCAAGTCACACCTGTAGACTTGATTTCACGAAATCTAGGCACACTAAAAGCAAGTAAGTGCTAACTTGGTGAGGGAGCTTTTCTTCAAGTCACTGCAGTTTGGTACTTGTACTCTCTGAGCATGATAGACTTGTTCTGTTCATGTAAATGTATGAAAACAACAGGTTAAAATAACATTTCTTTTCAGCTTTGCTTTCCCACTGTGTTTTCCCATGTACCTTGCTACCCTTCTACCCCTGTCTGTGTCACATCCCTGATGCTGTGATATTGGCCTTTGGGAAAGTCTTCTTGGCCACTTGGAAGCTACCCCTCTGTGAAAGGGTACCTCCCAGCAATGCAAGATGAGTCCACAGGCTTCCCTAATGCTCTTTCTTCCCCTGTTTCTGGTAATAAATACAAGATGCCTTGATCTTCAGTGGTTGGGATTGTGCTGATGTTTTTCTTGCCTTATCTCTTTTAGGGAAAAGTCATTGGAGATGCAAAACTGCTTATGAGTTGTGGTTGCAGAAAAGGGAAAAATTCTCAAGTGAAAGACTCAGATCAGGTCAGTCATTATATACCTTTACCGATGGAAATACAAGAAATGTCTTAACATCTGGTGGATTTGATCTGTGCTGTTGCATATCAGAGTTCCCGGACACAAACAGAGTTCTTGACATGATCAACAACAGTACAACATTGATGGTTTTGTGTTTGTTATTTGTAGAAAAACCCTTAAGCAAGATCAGGGATTCCTTGCACTAGGAGCTGTTAATGCCCTAGCCTGGCTTATTCACATCTGGTTTATTTATTCATGAATTCTGTTTCTTTATAAAAATCCACTCCAGGCAATGCCTTTCTTAAAGAATATTGCATTTCCTTGCTGGCTAAATGCATGCAACCTTTGGTCTCCTACTGTATCTGCCTAGATGGGTGGCAGCTACAGAAAAACGTGCCATTCTTTGCATGCTTTTGTTCTGAAGTGACACCATCAAAAGGACATTTCTTATTGAGGTCCCCTCATGATAGACATGTAAAAACTTGCTCACAAACCGATGGCCAGGTTTCAATATTCATTACTTGGAATGAATGGCCCTTTATTCTAAAATTGGTCAAATTGACATTGGTGGGACCACTTGTAGGGTTCAGTAATTGCAAGTGAGATGGTCTGTGCTCGTTATGACAGCCAGCTGGTGGTCTCTTGCTACCTCCTACCATTTTGCACTTATTCATCTCTGTCAAATATTTTAGTTATTATGGCCTTCTGGCTTTGTAGGTAAAAAGAAGTTTGAATCTGGAGATCATTCTTTCCGAAAATGAAACAAAATTTGATTTGAGCATAAACATTTTGTAAAATCAGGTCATCCAGTCTTAAATATGGCAAAGTGAAACAGTTGATCTCAAAGGTCAAACAACTTTGTTCTCTGATGTACCTTGTGAACAGCCTGTGACTGGGTATAGTCCTGAAGCAGATTCAAACAGTGTCCAAAAAGTTCAGAAACTCCTGATAATATCCTGAGGGGAAAAGAGATGAATTCTCAAGAAGAAAAGTATTTTTCATTTTTAAAATGTGTCAAATTTTAACATTCATCAACTGTAATTAATAACAATGTCTGTAAGCCTTGTTTTGTTAATATTTGAGAAGATCTGAGAGCAGATTTATCTACTGGTCTATCCATCCATCCACCTATTTTGTAGTAGGCTCTGTTGTGAGGAACACTGGTCACACTTACGAATTCTTTGTCATATTGAGTCATTCATTGATTTGCTTTGTTTTGCTTGTGTTTTTTTGACTAGTATTTTCAAAATAACAGATTCATTCTCATGAGCTAAATTATCAGTTGGCCATCAAGACAAGGATTCGTATTACTTTTCTTTAAAGACTGGCTTCCCATTCTCTCAAATAAAAGCTTAGTATTCTCATTTTGAAATTCTAACACATCAGGAAAAAATAATATGGAAACAAACACTCTAACCAATTTTAGTCTTTTATATTGTGATATATTCTGGTTTACAGGACTAAAGCAGCATTAAACCACTGGTAGTACAGAATAGAAATTAAATTGGAACACCCTGATTGCAGAGAGGTTTTACATAGCAGTATCTCTAAAAAACCCTGTGTAGTAGACTTGAAACTCATAAATGGCAATATTTTAATTATGGAGTAGACAGCAGTTTTCAGAGAGTAAAAAAATCCCATTCTCTTTTATGTTTTCTGGAACAGTGAAAATTATTTTTTGCATTCAGTTACTTTCTGAAATCTAATTTTTGATGTTATCTGGTGATGTATTGACCATTTCAGTACCTCTTTCTTTGCTGTGACAACATAAACTATGGGGCAAGTGCTTGCTTCAGAGGCTGTAAAGCTCATTCATCATGCCCCTGGCAGGGTCCTCTCTGTATTTAAGGGGACAGGAGGTGGATGGGGAGGAAACTAGTACAGGAGGGTGGGTGGCAGTGTGGAACATTTGTCTGTAAATGCAGGACCTCAGCTCAGCTTATAAATTATCCCCTGGGCCTTGTAGATAAACACAGACTTCTATGGTGACATCGGCTGGGAAAGGCAAACACTTGCCGACGATTGTAGGCTAATCCTTCAGGACACTAATTGCCAGAAAACCAAGGAAGCATTATTTTAGGAACAGCTTGTTTCACTTTGTGAAGGGGAAAAACAGTCCACCGGATTTAGTTTTGTTTGCAGAGCTTTACTCCCTCCTTCTGTGCCCTGTCTCAGATTTTAAAGGTTTACCTTCATTATTGTTGTTGGGGCCTTTTTTTTTTTTTTCTTTTCCTTGCTTTGTGTTTCACTCTGATGCCTCTTTAAACTTCTGTGAATATGCAACTTAGTTTTCATTTGCATGAATGTACGCATAAATAAGTAAATAGCTATTTAAAGTTTTGGGACTCACCAACTACTTTTTGCCTGAAATTTCTGTGAAAGGTGATGTTTTGCAAAGATTTTATTTTTCTTTCGTTCTTTTGAGTCAATTTGGAAACTGGCAAAAAGCCTCAAACACACAGCCCCACCAGTGAAAATCCCCACTTGAACCAATTCATCGCCCCATTGCCAAGAGTTTTAATTTACTGGTATTTCTCACTTGACCTGTTCATCTGGAGAAGAGGAGGCTGAGGGGAGACCTCATTGCAGTTACAACTTCCTCATGAGAGGAACAGGAGGGGCAGGCACTGATCTCTGCTCTGTGTGACCAGTGACAGGACCTGAGGGAATGGCCTGAAGTTGTGTCAGGGAAGGTTTAAGTTGGATATTAGAAATAGGTTCTTCCCCTAGAGGGTGGTTGGGCACTGAACAGGCTCCCCAGGGCAGTGGTCACAGCACCAAGGCTGACAGAGCTCAAGCAGTGTTTGGATGACACTCTCAGGGACATGATGTGACTCTTGGGGATGGGCCTGTGCAGGGCTAAGAGTTGGATTTGATGATCCTTTTGGGTCCCTTCCAGCTCAGCATATTCTGTGATTCTGTGGTTCTCCAGTGTGCCTTTGGAAGAAATGGCACCTTAAACTCCTTGACCTGAGATCTGCTTCCCCAAATCTGGCAGCCAAAACCACAACTATCTGCGTGATGTTTTCCATGGTGCAAGGCACCGGTGTGCAAAACCTGTCAAGGGCAGAAGTGCAGATAGGCTCACATGGGACTGGGGTTTCACAACAGGCACAAGGAACCCAACTTTCCTGTTCCAGGAAGGGACTGGCGGCCTGTGTTGTGAGGCCTCCGAGTCCAACCTGAGCCCTCCAAGATGAGGTAGAAGGCTAAACAGCACAATAAAAATCCCACAAAAGCTTTGAAAACCTCAAAGGGATACAGCTGCACTGAAGAACTAGAGTCTTATCACCCATGCATGGTTTAGGTGAAATTGTGGGTCAGTGAAGCAGGATGACTTCAGAGGAGTCCCCAGATAAGACCACCTCTTGCCAGCAAAAGCTGTGTGTCTTTGGCTACCATTGGCAAAATTGCCAATTGGTTGTGTGCTTTGTGGGAGTAAAATTCATCCACGCTCTGAGGCCAAGAACCGAGACTCTGCACCACAAACATCCTAGTGTAATTGTAAGGTTCATATATGCTCTTAGGAGGGGTTATTAGTTTACCAATAATTTATGCCTCCCCATAAATTATTATAATGTTGCTTAATATTTGAGGTGCATTGTTGTATAAGAATGGCAATCCTGGGCTAGAATTTCCTCATGCCAAGTAGTATACTAACATAAAATAGGAAAGATGTTTCCTGGGGAGTGATTTTATTTGTGTACCTTCTGAGGGGAAAAAAAAATATTGTAATTTAAAAACAGGAGGAAAATGTGTGAGTGGGCAAGTAATGTGCATATTAGAGGCATGCATAAGATTGAGAACCAGAAGTAGCATTGTGCTCCATATCCTCACACATGCAGCTCTGCTTTTTCAGGGTTTAGTTTTATTTGTTTTCCATTGCTTCTCCCAGAAGGTGGGTGGCTCATCAATGTTTAACTGCTCCTATCCTTTGAATTTTTTTTTTTTTCCTTTTTCTCTTGGCTTAACTTTTCTGATGGTTCCTGTGAGACCAAGTGTTACTGAGAAGTCAGACGCTCCTGTCCTTCTGTGTGTTTGGTTTTGGTTTTAATATGACAAATGTATGCCTCCTCTGGAAATGGTATCCATGCTGCAGAGTAATTATTTAGTGAATGGTGGATCCAGTTCATGTCGGCAAGGATCAGATTAATCATTATTAATCATGACCCCTCCGACAGTAACCTCATCCCTTGCCTAAGTGCTGCTCTTTATTAAGAAGTAAAAGCTATTAGGGGATGGCTGGGCCACTGCTCTCGTTGCACCAGCACAGGGCTCAGGCCTTCTGGCAGGAGGCAGAGGAACTCAGTTCAAAGTTAAAAATAGTTGCACATGGTCCACGTTCCAGAAATGAAGTAGGCAGCTTCCCCTGTGGGCTTCTTCGGCCTCATCTGAGTGTCCTCCTTTCCCCTGAAGTCTCACGAGAGTTTGACTCTTTCCAAAGGTTGAATTAGGGATTAGTGTTAGGGATTAAATAATCTCACAGAGGCTTTTTTATTTGTCTGCTAGATTTTCCTCTTTTTAAACTTAAGGAGATCCCAGTATAACTCAGTGTGTGCACGGTCCCTGCGGGGATAAGATTCTAAGGTCTATTCTAGTGGTTGCAACAGGTTTCAACAGCTGACGAGACTGACTGTGAGCTCAGCTCTCTTGGACTCCTGTTGTACCAAATAGATCCCAAATCAAGCAGCTTTTTTGAGGATTTCTGGATTCCCTGAAGGAACACTGCACTGTAGAGATGATGCATGCAATGATGTCCACCTTGTGCAAAACAGCTGTGAGAAGCCCAATTTCTCTCTCTGAGCGGCTGGACTGGGGTTTGCAGACATATATATCTCTATATCTCAAAATAGATCTTCCTTCTGTCACCAGAGATCTGCCAAGACAGTAGTTTAATTCATAATTATTCTGGTTTTCCTAGCAGTACAGGTTCTTTTTTAAAAGGTGAGACAATGCTATCAATTGATGTCATCGTTGTTTCAGCAAAAGCACAATGAGTTAAGTAC